GAATTAACTTCCCCTAATAAGTTCCCCTTTCCCAAGGTCTAACTATTAGGTGCAATCGTGTGTGCCCTAATCTATGCCCCAATTCCCATTGGTGACACAAATTTGACTATGAAGCTAGTAATTTAGGCCTTTAATTACCAACAACAACAGGTTAAGACAAGACTGCAACACAAATCATAAAACCAAACATAAACATATTAAGAAATTGACGAACAAGGCACATAGGTTCATCAACAAATTCACCCAAAAATCCCTAAGGAGTCTAGCCACTCATGGCCATAATAACAGTAAATTCAATGCTCAAAGATAAACAAATACCAACGAGGATAAGAGTAAGAGTGAAAGAGTTCTCCCGAATCTTTCTAGCTAGTTCTCTATTCCAAAGCTAGTTGTAAATCTTCAAGTTGGTCCTCTTTGTGCTTTGCTCTTGATTGCCTTCAAACACCCAAATCGCCGAAGACCAGAGAGACTAGGGTTGATAGAAGATGGTCCCTTTATAGTAGAACCCTGGTGGCTTCAATCTAAGAGTCCTTTAAGTCAACAGCTGCCCGCGATCTCGACGCGTCGAGCCTCCAACCTGTGCGATGTTTGAGGCTACTGGAAATTTTCGACGCGTCGAGGCATGGGCTCGACGCGTCGAATTGCTGATGCTTCAACTTCTTCCTCTTTTGATCATTTTGTGCTTGAAATTCTCCCCTTGCTCTCACGCTCACCCTGTAATGGTGAAGAAAAACACTACCGAATACCGTAAGACATTCAAAACAAGTGTAAAAACATAATCTAACGAGAAAGCAAGGAAAACAAGCGACAAATGGACATGATTCAATAACTTTGTTTCTAAAATGAATCAGAAAAGCTATAAAAACATGCACAGATGTGATAACATCACCCCCTCACACTTAAGACTTTGCTTGTCCTCAAGCAAAGCACTAAATCAAACCACAGGTCAAAACACAAGGATCGCTCCCAATTTCTCGTGCACAACTTAGCAAAACCACAAGCCAACTCACTGCAGGACACATGCTTCCGGAATCATCTCTGCTTGGCACCCGCGTTCTACTCCCAAGCCAACATACAAGCACCCAAATTGTTAGTAGTGAGAAATCTAGTGTGCACACGTACTCAGTTAGGTTTATGCAAAACACGACATCAGAAAAACATCCTAGGCTTGCCCTTCCTACTCCTCCTGAATAGAACTAACATTGCATGTAGAGATCAAATAGGTCTTTATTAAGCTTGTAATGGGGCTAAGGGTCACGGTTTATAGAAAAAAAAAAAAAAGGTAAGGAATGATAACAAAGGGAGAGAATGACACAATTATCTATAGCTTTTCAAAATCTGGAAGAGATGAGATAATCATAATTCCAAGGAGCAACTTCCTTTTAAGAACTTAGCAACTCTTTGGTAAAGTGGGGATCCAAACTCAAAAGCTTTCAATCTCTTTTTTTTTTTTTTTTTTTTTTTTTTTTTTTTTTTTTTCACTTTTCTTTGTCTATGGACATCTTTTGGATATAGCAAGATAATTTCTATCCAAACTTTCATGACCCCCACACTTGAACATTTGTAACACTAGCTGCTTTTTATCGTAGCACAACTCCACAAAACTCTTCTTACGGAAAAGATAAAGATAAAAGTTTCATTCTCTCAAGGGTGGAAGGGAAATATTTGGCTAAGGGCTAAGGGTTATGATAATGGGGTAAATCAAAGAAAAACAATCACAAAGGGGTAATAAGTGCTTAGCACTTATTATAAAGAAAATAAAAGGCTCAAAGGGGACACAAAGGATAACACATACGTAGGGACAGGTTTAAAGGCTATGAGCTACAAAGGATGGCCTAAATCATTTCAATATATGCGAAAATTAGACTAAACCTGAGGAGTAATGAGACAAGCCTTCGTAAGCCAACTAATTGTCGAAATTCCACATAAACTTTCGCTAGCACATGCACTAACCACTAGATCAAGAAATTAGTCCGATTATGAGTGGGTGACAAGTATATTAGCAAGGGAAATAAATCACTGAAGTGTTACACTATGATTTCATCCATGGCATAATGAGATGCAGCAAGTTCCACCAAAACAGACCACTACCCGACACGAGAGAGCGAGAGCAATTAAGTATCAAGACCAACAGTTTAATGGAAATAGAGGCACATGAGTCATTCAAGCAAGAATTCAAGTGAAGGGGGCAAAATGGAATACGAGAACAGACTAAATAAAATTAAAGTGCAAGGAAAATAAAATAAAAGTGCAAAGACTAAGGAAAAGAAAGGAAATACTTCAATCCTTCCCCTTCATACTTAGAGAATTACATTGTCCCCAATGTAATAAATTAAGTGAAGGAAAAGGAGTTGGAGTATTGCCGTAGAACCTTCTACTGATCGGTATCCGGAGGTGGTGGTGGTGGGTAGTATCCTTGATAGAAGTCCGGGATGTACCGAGGATCTTGCAGCCAAGGTGGTGGTGGTGGAAAGTTCAGCTGGAAGCCGAGATGGGCCTGATTCTGCTGGTGTATGGAGGTGCCCATGAACCAATTCACCTCATCAGTTCTGCGCATGAAATCCTGCCAATCATGAGGGAAGGCAGGTGCAGGGGCAGGTGCAGCCATCTGTGGGGCAGTCGCATCATCGCCTTCTTCATCATCTTCATCGTCTTCCTCCTCCCCGAATTGCTGACCGGTCTTGTAGCGTTTCTCTAGGTAATGCTCGGATATGAAGGCTTGTGGAGCTAACCTGACCTCCTGGGATTCATCAATAGGAACCCCAGCCAGCTGGCAAAGATGCGTAATGAGGTAGGAGTGGCCGAGGTAGAATCGACCCTTCGCATCGGCAGCTTCGCGGATATTGCCGTTGATGATATGGCCAATGTCAATAGTCTTGTGTTGCCGGATGCAGTAAGTAAGGAGCACTAAGTCCTTTCGGACAGTCCCCTTGTGAGAATTTAGGACAAGCCTCGCTTTGATGAAGTCCAAGATTCCCCTGTCAGCAGTCTGAAAATACTTGTAGTCCATGTGGGAGACTACACCCCCCCTGATATTCCATTCGGCCCTCGGGTGAAAGAATTGTGCAATACGGTTCAGCAACTCTTGGTCCATGTGGCCACGACGCATATCTCGATTAAAGTAATCATCGCCCATGTAATTACGCGTACCGTAGTACGCATTAATGGCCTCCGCCGAGAAGTCGACCGGAACGCCCCGGACAATACAAACATTGGTTTCGAGGCCATCCTTTGCATTCGCATAGAATTCCCTCACCAAATTGGTAAATCCATCTCCTGGTTGAGCAAGGAATCGGGGCGCCCAATTCCACGCTTCCGGGACCACTATATGTGCGCCACGTTCTTTCAGAACGGGCCGGGCAGATATCAACTGATGGTACCGTTGAGCCGCTGCGTCTGTTACAAAACGTTCATATTGTGCAGCACGTTGTAGTTGTTCCCGGACCTGCGAAGATTCGGCTCTTGGCCGTTTGGACGGTGGACGAGCTCTGGGTGCCATAGGAAAAACCTACAAGACTCAATAATAAAACAAAACTTTCAAGTACCTGATCAAGAATTTATAGCCAGAATATCAAAAGTGCGTCCAAGGATTTCAAGAGAGACTAGGGTTGATAGAAGATGGTCCCTTTATAGTAGAACCCTGGTGGCTTCAATCTAAGAGTCCTTTAAGTCAACAGCTGCCCGCGATCTCGACGCGTCGAGCCTCCAACCTGTGCGATGTTTGAGGCTACTGGAAATTTTCGACGCGTCGAGGCATGGGCTCGACGCGTCGAATTGCTGATGCTTCAACTTCTTCCTCTTTTGATCATTTTGTGCTTGAAATTCTCCCCTTGCTCTCACGCTCACCCTGTAATGGTGAAGAAAAACACTACCGAATACCGTAAGACATTCAAAACAAGTGTAAAAACATAATCTAACGAGAAAGCAAGGAAAACAAGCGACAAATGGACGTGATTCAATAACTTTGTTTCTAAAATGAATCAGAAAAGCTATAAAAACATGCACAGATGTGATAACATCAGTGGCATCCAACACCAACTTTCCCACGGCCTTCGGGAGACAACCATCCATGCTTACACCTTTTCTAACCAAAATCCAGCTCAACACCATCCCGTACGGTAGGCTTTTCCTGTTATGATCCCGACAGAAAACCATATGCTACAACATCAAAGCTGGCAAGTTGAACTTAACCATATTCTTGAGGCAAAAGGCAAAGGTGCACTCCAACTTTCCCAACACCTTGCTTTTGTTGTTATTAGGCAACAAACAATCCGATACCAACATAACCAAAATTTGTTGCTCCGCGAATAACCACTTTTTCTCCGGCCTTGAAGCTTGAGTGAAACCACTCGTACGGCCCAACAGATAGCTCACATAGTCCCGGTACCCCATGGTATCCGTATTAATCCATGAATGGCCACTATACTGAGCAACTACTGAAGCAAATAAACTCAAAAGCTGAGCCAGCCTCTTCTCAGAAAACACAACCTTCACACCTCTCACTTTAGAAGTGATCTCAAGCTTATCACCCTCCTTTGTCACGACCATGTGATGATAAAATTCTTTAACCAAACTCGGGTAAGTCTCGGCCCTTATGGCAAGAAACCCATCCAACAAACCTTGGAATCTAAGCATATCCAACAAGGAATTAGGAAAAGATTCCAGATCAAAAGCTTTACCTTCAAGGACGAGGTAATGGGCATCCACCCATTCCGGTTTTCTTGCTAAACTTGACCTTCTAGGCATGATTGATGATGACCCAAAGCTCAACAAAAAGGACCCAAGACTTTTTTCTCCTCTTTTTCTTCTTTCTCTCTTCTCGTTGCCTCTCGATCTCCCGCTGCTCTCTCAGCGTCGCGGCAACGAAAGTAGTTTTACTATGGACGATCAATGATTTCCCAACATATGGGAACTTATCAGGTTGCACTGTCAAAGGATATCATGCATGTCCTATCTGTGGTGAGAATACATATGCCAAGAGGTTGAAGCATAGTAAGAAAATGGCATTCACAAGACATAGAAGATTTTTATGTAAAACTCATCCTTATAGAAGGCAAAAGAAGGCATTTGATGGTAAGAAAGAATTCGACTTCGCACCAAAACCATTGAGTGGCCATGATGTTCTGAAAACAGTTGAGGGGATCAATTGTTGTTGGGGAAAAAAGAGTGGCAAGCTAAATGCTAAAAGAAAAATTAGTGAATCATGTTGGAAAAAGAAATCAATTTTCTTTGAGCTTGAGTATTGGAAGCATTTTCATGTTCGGCATGTTCTTGATGTCATGCACATTGAGAAAAATGTGTGTGAAAGTATTATTGGCACATTACTTGACATCCCAGGAAAAACCAAAGATGGGGTAGCTGCTCGACTAGACCTTGTGGAAATGAATGTGAGAATGGAGTTGGCACCAAAACAAGGGGAGAAGAGAACGTTTTTGCCACCTGCTTGCTATACACTAAGAAAAAAGGAGAAAAAGAAAGTTTGTAACTCTTTGTTACATATGAAAGTCCCAACAGGCTATTCATCTAATGTGAGAAACCTTGTCAATGTGAAGGAGTTGAAACTTGTTGGTCTTAAATCTTACGATTGTCACACTTTCATGCAACAGTTGCTTCCAGTTGCTATTCGAGGTGTGTTGCCCAAACATGTAAGGTCTGCTATCACTCGGTTGTGCTTTTTCTTTAATGTCATATGTAGCAAAGTGATAGATGCCTCAAAGTTAGATGCGCTACAAGATGAGATTGTGACAATGCTGTGTTTGCTGGAAAAGTACTTTCCTCCTTCATTTTTTGATATAATGGTTCACTTAACTGTTCATCTTGTGAGGGAGGTCAAATTGTGTGGACCGGTGTGGTGTAGATGGATGTACCCATTTGAAAGATATATGAAAATCTTGAAAGGTTATGTGCGAAATCGCAATCGACCAGAAGGTTGTATAGCCGAGTGTTATATTTCTGAAGAAGCTATAGAATTCTGCTCAGAGTATTTGTCTAACGTACAAACAATTGGGATCCCATCAATATTTCATGAAGTGGTGCGTACTCGGCCTTTATCAGGTGCTCAAGTGCAATCCATTAGCCAAGCAGAGTGGGAGCAATCACATCGTTATATTTTGGCAAACGATGTAGAAATAGACCAATACGCCAAGTAATTTTTCCAACTCTGATAAAACTTCGAATATATTGTTTATATATATTTTAGTGGTTAATTGACTTTGGTCAAATATCGTTTCTTAGGGAACACATGGCACATTTGAAAGCTACATTGCGTGGTAAAGTTAGGACATAGAAGGGGCTACATGATGAGCATAACCGCACATTTATTAATTGGTTACGTGATTGTGTAAGTTGTATAACTATGACTAGTACAACAAAAAAAAAGTCATTAAAATACTAATTTAAAGTGTTATCATTTTTAGGTTGGACGAGCAATAAATGATTCCACCCATGAAATATCAGAAAGACTAAAATGGTTGGCACATGGTCCTCGGAACCAAGTGTTAAAATACTCTGGTTATTTAATTGAAGGAGTTACTTTTCATACCAAAGATCGTGATAATTTGCGAGCTGTCCAAAACTCAGGAGTAAGCTTAGTTGGAAATATAATGCAAGTTTCTAGTGCAAAGGATAAGAACCTCGTTGAGTCAGATATGGTATTTTATGGAGTTATTGATGAAATATGGGAGCTTGATTACCATACCTTTCGAGTTCCTGTGTTCAAATGCAATTGGGTTGAGAATAACAATGGTATTAAAGTAGACGATCTTGGTTTCAAATTAGTAAACCTCAATAGGATTGGATTCAAATCTGATTCTTTTATCTTAGGGAGTTAAGCCAAGCAAGTATTTTATATTCAAAACCCTCAAGATCCAAGATGGTATGTCGTGCTTGCAACTCCTAATCGGGATTACTTTGAAGATGGGACTGAGATGGATGAAACAATAATCCATCATCAATGCTTTACGAATGGAATGCCATCTATGAATGTTGACAATAAAGATGAGAGTGAACCGCCATGCATTCGAGAAGATTGTGATGGGACTTGGGTTGAGAATAAGAACTCCTAGCTAGTTAGTGTATAACTTTTCAAACCTTATATTTTAAATTTGACTATGTATGTGTTCTTAAATGTTTCTTAGGTTTAATGCCTTCAATTTTTTCGGCTCCCAAGTTCTGAAAATGAATTCGAACATTTCTAATAATTTTGTTTTTATATTTTTGTGCTTATTAGGTTTGCGGGCTCTATGGCTGTTGGAAGAAAGAAAAAAACTAGACATCAGGAACAAAAGGGACAAGAAGTACATGGTGATGAAGAACACAATGGAAAAGAGGTTCAGGTGGATGAGGAACAAAAACTGTCAGGTTCTCTAGATACTTCATCAACGAGGAGCACTCGAGGTCGTACCCAAGGAATTGGAGAAAGAGGTACAATTCAATGCTTTGGTACAACCAATTGGAGAAAGTGCTGCAGAATTGCAAAGTTACATTGGTGTCCTTGCATGAGAAAAGGTCAAGTTGAATTTTAAGACATGGAAACATGTGCCACAAGATATTAAAGATAAGATATGGGACGCTGTTAATGTAAGCAAATTCTCATTCTTTTACTTGTATTAATTGTGATATTTAACATATTAGTATTTTAATTCTAACAAAATTTGTTCTATGTAGTTGAGCTTCATTGTTCCGGCACAATTCAATAAAAATTGCTTGAGCTCAACAAATGACAAATGGCGGCAATATAAAACACAATTCACAAATAAATTTATTTATTCAAGACTGAATGATGAAGAAAACTTGCATAAACCACCCGCAGGATATGGTATTATGGGAGATGAATGGACTCTATAACACCCCCTAATTTTCCAAGCTATTTAAAGCCTTAAATATGCAGATATCTAAACAAAACATCAGACATAGCGAAAGACTGAAAGAGGAATATATAAACTGGAAGTAAAAGAGGTGTTATGCCACGCTCATCCAGAGATGAACGCACAGGCTAACATCTGCATAATTCAACATCTAAAACCATACATGTTCAAGTACTAAGTCTATACTGGGCTCACAGGACACAAGACACATGAAAGGAGCTACACTAGCTGGCACTAAACCGCGCTCTCGTCTAAAACATCACCTGCAAGAAACACATAAAAGATGGGACGATGCCCGGTCAGCGAATAATGCTGGTAACCCACCAATACATGTGAAATATCATACATAGATAATATATACGTTTGTAAAGCCTTTTGCGAAACAAAATACATATATATAAGTTCAAAACCAAGAGTAAAGGTCAACACAAGACTCAAAGCACTCACAACAAGATAAGGGAACACATCCCAAGACTACGAAGAACAACAATGAGTCACAAGGACGGCTCAAGGTATAATCTATCATCACACAATAAATTAACACCTGACATGCATAACACAAGAGATAGGACACAACCAACGGCAACACATGCCTTTGTGACTACACACGTCACAAAATAGAGAAGTACACAACAACGGCTACACAAGCCTTCATGACATCACCCATCATGAATTGATATGCCTTCCTTATGCCCGGTTCCAACCATATGGCTACCCCCAACCTTACGTCTAGTTCCAACCTTTACATCCAGGACCACTGTACACCAAGTCCAACCTTTTCCCTCCGAGGACCGTCGTCCCCATCCGCCAACGACCGCAACCAAAACCACCAAATTCATAGTACACGAGGGTACCGATCACACACATGGCAACACATGCCTTAGCAAAACATGCCTCCCAAGAAATACGTGATCCTTACACAAAGGTCACAACTCCATAATCACGTCACGGCCACCACGAGGACCGCTGCAATACCTTGGTGACTAGTGTCCCATACCACTAATCGTGCAATCCAGGTAAAGCAACACACACATCACACCTCAGCAGGAATCAATCAACGGATCAGAACGAAGATATGAAACCATACTCAATCAAAGAATGGATCACAGTCCAACAACAACGATGATTAACACAAGTCATCATTAACAATAGGAAGGTACAAACAACACACACGCTAGCATTTAAACACCAAACTAGCATGCTCATAAAACGGGTAAACCAAACGTAGTTCCGTAGAACACACAAGACTCATCACGGTTCAACGAATCACAATGTTGAACAATTAGCATGATTCAAGACACCAAAACCTACATGGATTCCTACCATATAGTTCTAGACATTCGAAACATCAAGAAGACGCTCAAATAGTTCCACGAAAGAACATCGGGAACTCAAAAGACCAAATACCGAGTCAAAAGAATCACGGGGAACAAATCCCTGCCAAACCACATTACGTACCCTGCGGGTGGGCCCACGGGTAGACCCCTACCTGTGGATCCGCCCGCGGGTACATACCCACGTCCAACTTGTACCCCGCGAGGGGGCGGCGGGTGGACGCCTACCCATCGTTCCGCCCGCGGGTACGTAGCCGTACACCAAAATAATCCCTTCAGGGATTTTCAACACCAAACTCAAATTCAAGTCCAAAACATGCCAAATCACTCCAAATAAAACAAAATGACTTGAATCAAAGGAATAGCCAAGCAATGGCATACAAGAACCCTAAACACAAGCTCTAGATATGCATTTTCATAAGATAATGCATAAACACTCACATTTCATAGCAAAACACATGTAGAATCCAAGATATCTTCATATAGGTAAGCAAAATAGATTTTGTAGAGCATGGGTTACCTCTTGTAGACAAAAACCTTCACTTAACACTTCTCCAAGCTCCTAATAAGGCTCACCTTCCAAACCCACTTCAAGAACACACCAAAAGACACCTTAGAAAACACTAAAAACACAAGATGAACATAGATTTTACCCTCCTAGATGCCCAAATGTATGAAAGGTGGAATCTTGGAGACAACTCTTGAAGATTTGACAAAGCTTCAACTTGGCTTGGAAGAAAAGCTATCTACCTTTTTAGAGAGAAGGTAGAGCTAAAGTTTGGAAAGTGTAAGGAGTGAAATGAGGAGTGTCTACTAGGTTAGCTTGCGTTACTAACACAAGGTGAAAAGTCATGAATACCCTTACTAACATAAAGAGGTGTAAGGGAACAAGGGAACTCCTCACAAAGCTTAAGGTACAACCTTGACTTTGGGGTTGACTAGTCAATTACTAGTCCCCGACTATTGAATTTTCAGGAATTTTAGGAATTAAATTGCCAATTGGTTTAGGATTAATTACTTAATTAATCCCTTAATCGATTCTGGATTACGGGGTGTCACATCCTCTCCCCCTTCAAAGAAGTTTCGTCCCCGAAGTTTGGGTACGACGAATTAAAACAAACGGTGAAATGAAACAACCATGTGACAAGTGTGCCAAGAACAATCTCTTTTGGTCAAAACCCAAAAAGATTCACAAGGATTCAAAGCAAGAAAGAAGGTATACTTAAAACAAGAATTGGAGGAATTTAACCAACAGATGTGATGAGCATAACAAACTCTAAACCAAACACAACCACCAACTTCTAGCCAATAACTACGATCTAACAACTAGGTCAAAGCACCAACTAACAAAGCTAACTATTCGACTAACCAAACAAGCAAGAACAAGCACGCAAAGCAAGCAACAAGCAACTAACAAACGATAGGACAAGGTACCTGCCGAGAACAACTCTGGGTAACGCTCCCTCATGGTCGATTCTAACTCCCAAGTAGCTTCTTCTACACCGTGATGTGACCACCAAACCTTCACCTACTTCACCGATTTCCTACGCGTATCCCGGGTCTTAAAATCCAAGATCTTGAGCGGTCTTTCTTCATAAGACATATCATTGTCTAAAGGGATCACTTCCGGTGGAAGAACAAGTGTCGGGTCGTGAACATATTTCTTAAGATGAGATACGTGGAAGACATTATGGACTCGCTCCAACTCCATAGGTAGAGCCAACCGACAACCTAGGTTCCCAACCCTCTCAAGTATCTCATAAAGTCCTATGAAACGGGGGCTTAGCTTGCCCTTCCTTCCAAACCTCATCACTCCCCGGGTGGGGGATACTCTTAACCAGACCTTATCCCTAACTGCGAACTCTACTTGCCCTCTTGCTCGGTCGGCGTAGGACTTTTGACGATCTTGTGCCGCTTTCATCCTGCTCTGAATCTGTTTAACCTTTTCTGCGGTGTCAAGCAAGAACTGCAGTCTTAAAACTACCGGATTGACCTTATCCTCCCAACACAACGGACTGCGACACTTTTGACCGTAAAGAGCTTCATAAGGAGCCATGCGTATACTCGAGTGATAACTGTTGTTATAGGAGACCTCTATTAAGTCTAGGTGATCCTCCCATGATCCTTGAAAATCCAGCATGCATGCCCTCAACATATCCTCGATAGTCTGAATAGTCCTCTCTGTTTGTTCGTCTGTAGCCGGATGGAAGGCGGTACTGAGATTCACCTTGGTCCCCAAAGCTGCTTGCAAGGACCTCCAGAACTGTGACAAGAACCTTGGATCCCGATCGGAGACTATATCTTTTGGCACTCCATGATACTTCACTACCTGACTAACATAGGCTTGGGCCAACTGCGTCATTGTCCATGTTTCTTTCATCGCGATAGGCGGGTGGTCTTGGTGAAGCGATCAACTATTACCCAGATTTTATCCTTACCGGAACGGGTTGCCGACAAGCTTCCCACGAAGTCCATAGATATGGAGTTCCATTTTCCTTGTGGAACCTCCAATGGCTTTACTAAGCCCTTGACCCCGCAACGCTCTACTTTCACCTTTTGACAAGTCAAGCATCTGCCCACAGACTCCGCCACCTCCTTCTTCATGTTAGGCCACCAGAAAAGCTTTTTCAC